ACTAATGCTGCTGTTGCTACTACTACCACCACTACTACTACTGGTAGTTGTTAATACTACTATTACTGCTTCTGCTAGTACTTTGCAACATTTTTCGTAAGCAATAGCTCGCCGGTAGACGACTCCGTCGCCGGTTGGGACAGTATTTGTTTCTGTCCCACTGTAGGATTCCTTTTCATGGCTATTGGTGGCTTGCAGTGTCAAGTAATTTTATTTGGCGCACATAACCTGGTCATAATTTTAACGTAGGTAGGGGGGGGGGGGGAACAACACCAAGACGCTGACGGCTTCTTTCTTCTGTTCCCTTCACCGCCCATTATTATAATAAACAACAAGATCATGTCTTTCGAGATCTATTAAGTACTTATTTTGATGTACTAAATACTAATGTCGCATGTGATGCCGTAGACGAGTGTACGCACAGGTCAGAGTGGATATTCTAGTCCCACCAGCTAGTTCGGCTGTTGACTGTTAGCGGTGTAGCTGCTGGGATAGATGGTAAGAATGATACATGTCTGGCCGACACCAAAACACATACTACATCAAGTTTATCGAATCACCAAAGTGACAGAACATCGATCAATTAGCCTCAAAGACTTGGGGCTGTCATTGTCGAGCAAGAGATCTAAGGTAGCCTGTACCAATGAGCGGAAGCAGTTCGTAGACAGAATAACTCTAGCCATACAGTGTGACCTATTCGGCGTTACTGACTTGGTGACTTTGCAATTAATTAATCTGGTTATCTCAGGACAGTCTACGTCAGCGGAGAGCTAAATGTCACTCTGAATGACAATGCAACACAAGGTACTATATACTGTGAAGTGGTCAGAACTGTCACTGTCGGATTCATGGCAAATAAAGCGATGGATGGCAGCAGCGATTTTCTTAGCGGTCTGAGTTGTGGCCATACAAGCAACTAATACACAGTGAACGTCTTCCCGCCCAAATGGAGTGTGGCATTATCAAGGCAGTTAAGTGTCGATAGATACCTTATTTACAATAGGCTGCGTGCTAAGAGGCATTGACTTTTGGGATTCAAACTGAGTTTTTATGAACCCAACACGGTTTTTGTATACGTTAGGCGACAGCAGTACACAAACCGAGGACAGTTACACAACCACACAGCCTGTGATTATTATTCAGAAAATAGCCTCTTCGACCAACTCATCCGTACCCGTTGACACGGTTGATTGTCATAGATCTCATGCAGTACAAGGGGTCTGGAGCCTTGTGGTATCAGGTTCAGTCTGTGGATAGGGACAATTGCGGAAGTTTTGGTGGACAAATCTCCATTATGTCAACAGTTTCCTAAGTGCTGAAAAAAAATGTGTATGGGTCAAACCTGATGCCTGGCCTGTAATATGTAGTTATTTTCTTGTGAGCCCTTTAATAGTCACCCCATTCTACTTCATTGGTATTATCGGTGTGGTTGTCTGTGTGTGCCTCCCGCTTAACATTTGGATCACTCTTAGCGTTCTTTCGACCCAGAATCAGTGGCCAGCACCTTAGTCAGCGAAAATACTACACAAAATAACTTGAACACATCCCTCTGGCTCCAAGACTATTACATCAAGCCTTGGTGCCGCGTCATGACTGGTTACTGTTTGTCAGTCACTTTAGGCAGGGTCAAAAAGAGATGGGATGTAGCTGTGTCTCTGTTTGATGGTCGCTACGGTCATCGCTCTGGCAGCTGTTTATGGCTTCTGTGTTGACCTCAGTGGGGAAAATGTCAGCAGTGTTGGGACGGCTACATTTTACAACGCTGTGGCCAGGTCGGCCTGTGGAACCTGGGTCAACGTTGCCTGTGCCGCGGGTTATGGTGACTTCTCGACGGCATCTTGTCCTTGTCGCCTTTTCTTGTGCCTTCTGTGCAAGAACCTCCAAATTAGGGGTGGCTTTAATACATCAAGGATGCCAGCATTGTTGTTACATTCTGTGAAATCGTAGGCCTAACTGCCTTCATCCTGATGCTGGCTTTTGAATATCCGTGGATCGGCCTGTAGAAGACCTTCCTCAATAAAAAAAAAAAAAAAACTAAAGACACAGAACAGTTAGACAGAAAAATACAATATTGCTTTAAAAGGTCAGAGGAGTTTTCATAGCACTAGGGAATTTTTGGAGGTCAAAAGTAATTAACAGAAATACCAAACTTAACATTTTTAATTCTTATGTCAACTCAGTACTTTTGTATGGGGCGGAAACATGGAGAACAACCAAGGCAATTACTAATAAATTACAGACATTCATTACTGGTGCCTGCGCAGAGAATTAAAGACAAATGGTATGATAAAATGTAGAGCTTTGGGCAAGAACTAAGCCAGCTCGTGGACCAAGAGGTGAGGAAAAGACGCTGGCGTTGGCCAGGACACATTGAGAACAGCATAACTAGATTGTCTTTGCATTGGAACCAACAGGGGCATAGGAATAAAGGAAGGCCAAAAAAACACATGAAGAAGAGAGCTGGAGAATGAAGTTAGAAAGATGGGGAGGACAGGGGAAGAGCTCCATGCAATAGCAAAGGATAAAACAACTTGGCGTAAATTGGTTGAGGGCTTATGCTCCATTGGGAGATAGAAAGGCAGACGAGAAGAGAGACACATACACGCCATTCTTAAGGTTTTGTTTACGCACCTGCATCTTCTAGATATTTTTAAAATTTACGTTGGCTCCAAGACTTTACTGAGTATCTAAAATGTTATTAGTAGTAAACAAGATGTGTGTGATGTTAACTACATCGCCTATTCAGTGCTTAATTGGCAATACAAGTTTAGCTTCCGAGTCTAGTCTACTGTCTAGTGTGGACATCCCCCTCCTCCTTGCCCCCAAAATAGTTAGTTCCATGACGTTTGATTTTGTAACACAAGCAATATTAATTCCTGGCATGGATGAGCGAAAATATACTGTTTTATTAATTAAGTTTTCTTTGTTTTAGTTTTAGACTGATTTGACTGAGCATCCATAGTAGTCAACAGTGTTGTCTCTGCTTTTATAGAATGTTGGACAGCATAGCCAATCTTGTCATTCCACACAGGGGAATGAGTCTCATTCCATAGAGGGGATGCTGGGGCGCCAACTTTTTTGAAACATTGATGCATAGGAACAGCAGAAGACAGCGACGAAGAAAAACCTGGATAGACAATTTGTCTTGGTCTTGCAAGGCAAGCCTTATAAATCTAAAAATCTGGTCTAGTCCATAGAGGTAGATGGATCTGATCAGGCAGTCAAGAGCATATAAGGTTCCATCAGTGCGATGTTTTGAGACAATTATAGCCTCCCTATATACTTAGATTGTGTGTGTCTGTGCATATATATATATATATATATATATATATATATATATATATATAATTTTGTTTTAATTAAAAGACCAGATTCACCCCAGAAGCCTGCCGGTCAAAAGTCATTAAATGTCTGGTTATCCTATTACTACTATTCTCCGCCCCCAAGTGAGACAAATTTTCCATTATTTTGAAGCCCCACCCTGGTTGTTCGAATCTTTCAGAAAATAACACAGTATCAAACTGTCTGTACTCCTGGGATTTGGGAGTCCCCGTGGCGGAGCGGCTAGATGCTGGCCGCGGATCAGAAGGTCGTAGGTTCGCGCCCTGGAGGAGCTAGACTGTTTTTCAAAAATGACCTTGGCTCCCAGGTCGACCCAGCCTTGAGTGGGTACTGGGAGCAGTCCTGAGAAGTAGAGGCGGCCGGCATGATGCTGACCACATCACCCATCTTGTGCTGATGGTCTATAAAAAATATAGGTCTAGCCCTATTTGCCTAAAGGCGTGGAAAAGGGTCCTTTACTTACTCCAGGGATTTACCACCTGTCAGGACCATGCCTAAAGATCCAAAGCCAGTGGCTAGTGTAGTCACCATGAACTGAGCAGCTACAGATTTTATCTTCACTTTTGACTGAAAACATTTCCTTTACCTTCTCAAGGATTCAAGCCTGTTTCTAAAAGAGAGCCCAATTTTTAAACTGATCGGCCAGGTGATTTTCAATATACATAGTATAAAATTTTTTTAAACAAATGACTAGCATCACCCTCTTTAATATTCAATGGTATCTCCAAATCACCTAAACAGCCCTGAAGAACAACAAAGTAGTGCCTCACCACTGGTAACACATACTTATTTATTTACAATAGCTTTTATTTACAAACATAATCAAAAGAAATTATGCAGGAAAAATAACAAGTCTTTCAAACAGAGAATAAGAAAACAGGTCCATGTAAAGGATATCAACATGTGCTACTCCTGCATTAACATAATCACTGATTTATAATCCACTCATCACTCGGACATGGCCCAGTTATGATAACACAATGTGTCAACAAGCATCTAATAACATTCTCCTATTCAATTAAGTTATAACAGTTCTTAATTTGCGCTCTCTTCTGCTCATTTTGCCCATGAGTATAGGCTTTCAAACAACTCACTCCAACATGCCTTCTCATTATTTTAACCTCACTCTAACTCTCTGTTTTATGTGTTTTTAAAGTATTTGAGTGGGGGAAAAGGGGGGGGGGGGAGGAGCAGCCTTTATTTCTTTGACCTTTTGGATTGCAATGCAAGGAGATCGTATTTATATTAGCTCAAGAGAAGAAATATTCACTCATTTATCATAACACAATGGGTCAACCACACATTCTAGGCATAAACATACAGCTTTCAGAATGTATACATACATCTACACACACACACACATATATATGAGGCATAAATATATATACAGCTTTTAGAATATACATTTAACTAGACTCTGGACATAAACATACAGCTTTCAGGGCATTTAAACAAAACCAAACATTCTAGACAAATATACAGTTTCCAGAACATATACACATGCTGCAACAGGTGACCAATTAAGGATTTGCTGAAATCAGGTGTGCTGGGCTGAAAAGTGCAAAAATCACAACCCTGCTGTAAACCAGAATACAATGTGCCAACTGTCCTTTAATGGGCGAATAAAACCACACACTTCAGGCATAAACAGACGACTACTATTGCTGGTACCAATTGCCATACTGGTCGGTTGGGTAGCCCTGATAGGCAGGGGTTCCATTTTGGTTCATCTGGTTCATGTTCCAGTTATCAGTATTGTAACTGCCTGTGGTCCACATCCCTTGCTGCTGCTGCTGTTGTGGCTGCTGCTGCTGGTGTTGTGGCTGCTGTTGCGGCATCATGCCATACACCTGTGAGGCCATGTTCATTCCCCCTTGCACCTGTCTATGGGCTTCCAGGGTAATATTCTGCTTCTGTAGCAGCCTCTGCCGTTTGTCTTCCAGCGATTCTTCAGCTGTATTATAGGACGCTGGTTTGGTGTCACTGCCTGCTTGCTGCCCGCCTGCCCAGTAGCCAGAGTTGACCTGCAGAGGAAAAAAGTGGCTTCATTATTTCCAATTATCAGTCGTATGAAAGAAGCAGACAGAAGGATAGGTTTTAAAGTAGAGGACTGATTTGTTTCATTCATTCTTTAAAAAAAAAAAAAACTGACTACAACACTGCTAAAGACATCTTTGATTATAATTATGGTCTAGCTTTATGGTTTGTTGTGCTAACATTTGTGGCATACTGTCCCTAACTCGATGTGATGTCCAATCTGACCATGCCTAGGTCCTCTCTGTTGGTCCCTCAGTCCTGGCGACAGTTCCGTTTTGCATGTCCATCTTCATGTATGTGTGCGTGTAAGTGGGTGGGTGCATGTGTGAGTGCATACATATGCATGAAGGCATGAGTGGGTGTGTGCATGAATTTACATCCACGCCTTTGTGTTTTTTCACTGATATACATATTATATCAACATATATATATATAAATATGTTTTACGAACATAAAATGCTTTACCGAAAAAATACAGCTGAAGTGTGAAAGAAGGACCAACTGCAAGCCCAATTCCATGACCTTTTGTAAATAAAGTTTGTTTGTTTGATTATGACTGCTGTTGCTGATTGAGTTGTTCTTCTTATATCTTATGCCCTAATATTCTTCCGAGGTATTCTGTTCTGCAATCTGTTATTGAGAACCCTGTTCTTTTTCCATTTGGGTGTCTGCTTTCTGCTGTTGTAGAATCCTAATACTGATCAGTCCTACCAAGTCTCCTTGTTGTCCTCCAAGCCTCCCAGGCAAGTTCAAAGGATGTCACTTATACCGCTATGCCCTGACTGTTGACAAACTGTTAATGTTGTTTATGCTGAAACTGATATTAAAAGCAAATCACATTGTGAAACATGGCCAGAAACATACAATCTCTTCACGTCTGATCTCAAGAGGATTGAGTGATTGATCAAGTTATGACTCATATTCTCTTTGTGGGTACCGGGGGCCCGACTGTCGGGAAAACAAGAATACAGACCCTGCCCCCCCCCCCCACAAACAAGCATGTCATAAGAGTCGACTGACTGGGGGCTTCCTTTAAAGTCAGAATGCATTTGCTTGAGAGGAGAGGAACAAACAATCTGCATACAAATAAGTCAGGCCTGTAACACAGATGTGCATGCAACACTCAGCTCCTGGAACAAAGATGAAAGATGAACAAACAACCTAAAAAATCCCTAGAATTTGTAGCTGGTGAAAGCAAAAAAGAAGAAATCTAATATGACTGCTTTTCTTTGTATAAAGTATGACCTCAATCCTCAGAGATCTTAGTGAAATTTACACTTATAAACTGAAATTCTCTGAAATAATCCACCAACCTGCACAGTGTGACGCAAAATGTAGCCAAAAAAAGTATCAGGTCTCACCCCCCCCCCCCCCCCCCACAAAAAAAAAACATTTTCCCAACTAGAAAGATGTGCATACAATCAACTAATTGCATCCACAGTATTTTCTGCTTTAAATGCTTGTACGGCAAGCCAATTATTAATATTATCCAAACCCACCTAAACTGGACTATTGGTTACTTCATAACCATTTTGTCATGGCCCAGTATAACTATGCTATACAGCTACATGGCTGAAAAGTTTTTTTCTGTACATGTTTGATTATTATCAGATTCATACGTTTGATTATTATTGGATCTGTACATGTTTGATTATTATCAGATCTGAACATGTTTGATTATCGGATCTGTACATGTTTATTATCGGATCTGCACATGTTTGATTATTATCGGATCTGTGTATATTTGATTATTATCGGACTCGCACATGTTTGATTATCATCAGATCTGTACATGTTTGAGTATCATCCTTGAGATGTTAATCGTACCGTCTGCAGTTCTGAAGGGAACAAACTTACAACAACAAAAAAAGTTTAACAAAAGTTAATATAGTAATCTGGATCTCTACAGTACCATACTACTGTGCACTGTCTGGTCACAAAATTACTGTTCGCGGATTGTGTCTTTCCATTCATGGCAGGCAGTTGATGAGCTAAACCTAATATTTTCATATTTGAAGCCCCAGCCTGACAAGATTTTGTTCTTTGTCTGGCTGCCTCTTTCATTGTAAATAGTGATGTATGTTTTGGCAAGGCAGATAACAGATCTTACTACATGTCCACACCATTAGCAATGGGGATTGGGACAAGGGCAGAGGGAGGGGCCTGAAGTAGCATATTGATGAGCATAAACAAATAAATAAGAGTATATACTGTTAAGCAGGACTATTCTATACTTATTTACTCAGGGACCAACATTTTAAAAGGGGACTGTCTGGCCAGAAAGCAGAGCTTAAGTATAGAAAGCTTATTATTACACTACAGTTGACAATAATCCTCTGACCACTGTTTAGGTCTTTGCGGGCCAGAACTGGCACGCAGGCTACCAGTTGAATGGCCCTGATGTAAAGAGCAACAGTAAATGTAAAACATACAGTGGCACAGAAAAAGAATTCAGTAACTACTGGGTTAGAATATAAAAGATGTGACTGAATAAATCTACATACATCGTTTATTTCAGAATTTGTCTATAATTTCTGCCATAGCTTATTGATTTACAACATTTTTTTTTTAAATTAATGGGATGAGTTACTGCTTATTTTGAATATTTTTTTTTGTTTAATCGAAATGCTCTGCTTACAATTCAAGATATACTTCAAGAAACTGTACCTACCTGATTATTGTAGTTGTTGTAATTTGTGGTAAAGCCAGTGTTCTGGGAATAGTTGGAACCAACTCCTTGATTTCGGAAACTTCCACGGCCACGTGCCGAAAACTCATTCTGCCCATGCCAGGTGCTGGCTTTATTGAAGCTAGGCCGGTGGTTAGTGTCCAACCGGCCCCTGTTTCCAGAAGCTTGGTTTGACCCCTTGTAAGTGATGGGAAGACTTCGAGCTTTCATATTCAGCTGTTGACCAAAGAGACTTGATCCTTCCAAAACCTAATAGTATAGTTTTAAAAACATCAATATTCTACCACAATTGTTAAAATTAACTTTTAAAAGTGGGAGCCACTGTGGTGTAATAAGATGTTCACTTGCAGGCCAGAAGGTCATGGTTCAAATCCCCATCAAGCTAGGTGTCCCGAGACCTGTGGATTTCCCCTGTTTGGGGTAGGATAATAAGAAAGCACAGAAAAGGTCCATTTTAATGTGTTACACACATGACCACAGTCGATGACCATTAAGAAGACAGACAGATGGAGTCAGACTATACACTTCTCCTAAAAAAAAAAAAGGTAGTGAATGGAAACATTAAATTCTACTATCTATTGCTCTCTGAAAGTAAGAAGTTCAGTTTTAGCATCTTTTGTTCCATCTGCCAGTGCAGGCATTTTGGAAATCCCCAGGGGTCAGAGCCGAAGCCACATAGTTTGTGCTATGATGGTGCTCTTGGCGGACAACTAGCAACTTTGCAGAGAAAGACTGAGCCATAGAAAAGCCCAGTGCAATAAGCTGATCCTCTCATCTTTTAAACCTTTCCAAAGACCAAGTGACAATGGAGTCAATACTATTTCAAATCTGACACTGACTTACAGAAGTGCACTTTGTACTTTCACATACATATTAGAGCTGTACTGAATATTCACTTCATATTTGCTGCAGGGCCGAATAGTGGACCTAATAACTATTCAGTATTCGGCTGAACACTTGTGGTTGGGCCGAATACGAATAGTGGTTACCTTACACCCGTTTCTGCATACAGTGCGATGGACTGAAATAACTCTCATTAACACAATAATTGCTGCTGCCTAAGTCTGTCGTAGCGAGGGAAACTGTGACCTGGTTGCGTGGTGCAGCAGCTGGCAAGGTCTTTGCCTGCTGACTCGACCGAGGCATTACAGCAGAGGTTCTCAAACTGGGTGCGTATGCCAGGGGTGCCGCGGCAAAAATCAAGAAAAGTCGGCTATAAACTGTGACACTATTTAAAAAGGCATTAAGATACTTAAAAGTTAAAATTTAAATTGTCTTTTCTCACCACTTTCGAAAAGAGTTTTTTCCCCTTGTTTCACCCTCAAAGTGTATCATGCTGCATAAAATGCCAACCGCAGTGCGAAAAATTGTCTTTGTATTTATCTCGAGGTGCGACCGATCCTCTATCTTTATTCGTGAAGGTGCAGCGGATAAGTAAGGTTGTGATTACATTTTAGCTGAAACTTCAAAGTGAAAAAATGTGGTCTTTACATCAGTAACTGTTACCTCGTCAAGTAAGCACTTATATTAAAAGGCAATGCATTGTGAGTCATGGACAATAGGTAGGCAGGCCAAATAATTTCTTGAGGCCTTACAGATGTGATTTTACAGAACAATGCTTAAAATATCTTGGACAGCCAAAAAAAGCAACCAAGAGGTTTTGAAAGAGGCGGGAGCCCGAAGACAACTAATCACAGACATCAGAAGGAGACAGTTATCATTTTTTGGCCATGCTATGAGAAGAGGGAAAATGGAACATGTTGTGACCACTTGAAAGATCTGTGGAAGGAGGGATAGAGGAAAATAACGAGCATGCATGACATGGAGGTCTGTCAGCACACGAGAACTGATACATGCTGCAGGAGATCGCAGATTGTGGAGAGGCATGATCACCCACGCCAGTCAGCAATGCATCTGATGATGATAATGATGATGTATGTTTAACATGTGTGCCTTTAAGTTCCTGCGTGTTAATTGTTTTGGAGATTTGCTGGAGCTACAGAGTTCATGCCATACTCTTGGGAGAGTTATTCTGCAGACAGAGGCTGAACAATAAATATGGGATCAAACTTAGGGTAATCTTCTTCTTCATGTTTACTGGCTGTAAACTGGCAGAAAATTCTGGTTGTTCTACTTCTCAACTTTAGTCTTGTTCCAGAACATAAGTGTTGCGTGCACATCCGCTCTACAGATCTGAATAATTTGTATGCAGATTGTTGATTCCTTGCCTCTCAGGCAGACGCACCCTGACTCCGAAGGAAGCCCTGTCAGTCGACTCTTACAACATGCATGTTGGAGAGGCAGAAGGTCTATTCTTGTTTTCTCCATAATGGGGCATTGGAACCCACACGCGCAGCCTGGGGTAATGAAGTCGATCCTCTCGACTTTAACATATATGGGTCTAATTACATAGGTATTACATACCTGAGAAGCATATTGCACAGACTCAGGATGATGGAATACAACGTATGCATGCCCTTTGTGTTTCTTTTTGTCCCCTTCTCCCTCAGCTGGAAGTATTAACTTATCTATAGGCCCTGTCTAAAGAAGAAGGAATGCAGTATTTCAATACTAATAAACTTACAGACTTAATGAAGATTACTTTCAAGCCAATGTATCTCCACCTTCCTTTATCCCCACTCACTGTTTCTCTTTCCCTTCCTTGCTCTCTTTCCACATATACACTTTCTCTTTTCCTCTCTGTGTCTTATTTTATGCTTCTATTGCTGTTTCTCGAGCCCAGAACATATACAACACCCCCCTCCCCCCTCCATGCTTGTTTCTTTCCCCTCTCTCACAGTGGTCTTATTATTTTGTTTCTAATGCTGATTCTATGGATCAGAAATTGGGCCTTTTTATTTAGGAAAGTCTGAAATCATGGCGCAGAAGATCATATGTGTCAGAAATTACATAAGAGAGAAAGAAGTCAAATGGAAAGATAGACATGATGACCAACACCACATGAGATGGACTATAAGAAGAAAGGTCTATTCATAACCATCTTGTGTTAGAGTGCTGGCAGCATTCCGACTGATTTTAATATTTTAATTTTCTTAGCTGATTAGCACTTTCATTTCCAGGCACTCCACAGTATGGTGACCTCAAACTGATTGCCTTGTTCAGACAGTAGTATTAACAGCAACAGAAATTGTCAAGACTGGAATGCTTGAGTAATGATGTTGCATCAGCAATACTAATAGCTGAAAACTATTCATCACAGTAATTTCTCTTTCTATCTTGACTGCAGATATGACATTATTTTCCATTTGGTACCTTAGCCAAATTTCTAGTATTATTTGGATTTGTATGTACATTCTATAACACCCTTATGTGTCAAAGTTCAGAGACTTTTCTGCTGCAGAGCCTGCATTTTACCTCTTTGAAATGCGGTCTTTGCGTGCAAATATTTAATGGCATAGACTGGTCTTTGCTTTCAAAATCATTAACAAGTTGCTCTAATTAAGTATTCCAAGACAGTTTATATTGTCAACAAGCATTTTTTTGGTATTGTTTTCTTAAACTGCTTGTAGTATGTATGCATTTGCAGAACTCTTCAACTGCATTATTTATATCTTTATCTGCGTTAATTATTCTAAATATGCCAGGTGATGTTGGTACACTGTCCAAGTTGCCATTTTGTAATTCCATTTTAAGAGGGTGATGTTTCCCCTAACAAGCCAATTTTCTAAAGTTACAGAACTATTCGCAAACAACTCCCAACACATGTGCTTTTTTTATTTCAGGTCCAGACAGTTAAAATCTATGTGAGATGTAGTGAATATGATGGTTTGCCATGATCTAAGGTAAATGGTCGGTGGATTGTTTTGTCTCATCAATTAAGATAGGTCTACTGCCAGCTCTCTGATTTATCTTATTTTTTTTTTTTATTCCTCATGAATGTAGTCCCAATTCTGTCAGCCACTGTCACAATAATGTTTCCATTTTCTTGGATTCTATCTCATGTCTGAGTAAGATCATTATCATCTTGCTGTGACATTTATACATCACCACATAGGACTTTCAATATCTCCACTTTAATCTACCCTGGATAATGTTTCTGATACAATAGACAGAATCAAATCTGGCATCTTTGGCCTCTCTTATCAACATCTGTCAAACTGTTTCTCTTGAGCTTCTACTCAGTTTATTTTTGTTTCCCATGTCAGCAACTGTCTGGTAATTCTTTGATCCATTTCTCATAATGTACCCAATATATTGTTATCTTTTCCCCCTTACAACTGTTGATACCAGCAGCCATCTAGAACTTTCCATTATTTCTTTGTCTTTTAATATTCATTATTTTCCTCTGGAATGGAGATCACAGTAATAGCCGATCAGACATAAATCTTTACTGTCGTGAATTCAAGGATGTGGTACTCTGCAAAACAGTCCCATGCTAGCTGTTTTAGCACAAGGCTTCTTAGTAATAGCCGATCAGACATAAATCTTTACTCTGTCGTGAATTCAAGGATGTGGTACTCTGCAAAACAGTCCCATGCTAGCTGTTTTAGCACAAGGCTTCCAATATTTGCTAACTGATTCTGTGTGACTCATTTACAAAGATAACTGAGATTTAGAAAATATATGTACTTATGCTGATGTTATTCATGAAAATAAAAGGCTCTGTGAGCAGCACAGATTACAGAATGCATTTTAACCAGGTCTTTCTAATGGGTTAGGTTAGTATAGGTTTTCTAATTAAAAAATGTAAAAAAAAATTATAAATATCTCAATAATCCACTCAATTATTACTACAGCTAATGATATTTTAACACATTATTTTCTCTTTTAAATAATAATGCTAACTTACAATAGTCCCCTAGGGTTGCCATTGCAAGGAGTGCCAAACCTCTTCTATTACTTACAACTGATGAAGAAATTTGAATGAGGTACTTCTGGTTATAATGCCTTTTTCCAGCTACATATTTTTCATTTAGATTTTTTAAGAAAAAATAAATGCATTCTCTTAAAACTGTTAGCTCACTACATAAGGGAATTCTAGATTTCACATTATCTTATAGTACTTCTACTTGAATACTTGTCATCTCCTTGTAAGATACAATTTTTCGTTATTTTGAAGCCCTACCCTGGCTCTTGCCATGGGGCCACAATATAGCCTGGCCATAAATATGGTCTAAAATATGGCTGAAAAAGGTTTCCGGGACCTCTCCTTGGGTGGATCTTCATCCACATGGTGGCACTTTGCGTCATCAGGTGTTTATCGCTTGTGTGATGTCCTGGTGGGGTAGAAAGTCAGTTCAGTACTTCTACTTATTATACATAATTTCCTCAAATACTATAATTAGTCAGTATTATTAAATTATTATCATTACTATTTCCTTCAGCTGATGACAAGTTGAAAGTAACTAAAACTAAAGGAATAATGTTTTGTGCTTCATTACATGCTGATACAGCTAAAAACACAATAGTAAGACATGATGAGATACAGTATAATTAAAGCCAGGCAATAAATGTTGCAATGTATTTTTTGTGTCAGGATTATTATAAAACACATATTTATACAAAAACTGTGATTGATGCTTTTTTCAAATGTATATTTTTCTTGATTAATTCAAACTGTTTTAAATGTATATTAATGTTTTAGTGTATATACTAAACGTTTCTTTTTTTTTTTTTTTGGCTGGCAAAAACTAGAGAGAAGAGACAAATGATGTAATCCTTTGAGAAGATACAGAAGAGTGGCACTGGCGTTTAAGTAGTTATAGACAAGACAGATTGACATATTTACTGACAATAAAGAGTACTGCAAACACACACAAAATTTACTGTCCTTTGATTGCACTGTTAGTATATTAGTTTAAAAAATTAATTAAACATTTTTCAAAATTTAATTATTAATAAATAGTTGTCATTTACTCATTTAGGGACAAATAATTTAAGTGAGCGTATGTCTTTAACACCATCATATAGCCCATTTAATTTTTATTGTTCTATCAGGCTGCAAAACAACAACAAAATGCTTATTACACTAGGAGGCATTTCTGTTATTTCAACATTGACATTCATAAACGGCTTTATTAATATTAGGCTCTCCTCCGAACTTCTACCCCCGCATTATGGCGGCCTGAAATATCCATTCGGGGCTCAGTCCAGTGAAAAATTCGGAGTTTCTGCCAAAGATCAAATCGCGGCAAAACTAGGATTACCTGACAAATTAAAGAGATGCAACATTGCAGATGATAAGAAAAGCGACCGGTGACAATGTCGAGCGTTTCTGCAGACAATACTAGCAGGCGATAAAAGCGACCGTTGGCAATTTCGAGACATTACAGACAATGAAATCGATATGGCGGGTAAACCACGCGCTCCCAGGCAGATTAGCAATACTGTTTTTCCGACTGAGGATTTAACAGCGGTAGATGTCAGACTTGTTGGCATGCACAAAACGCGATTAAACTCACCGCCAAGGGTATCCCCCGCGCTGCTACGCGCGGCGCGGATGGTGGGCTAAACTAGGTGCCTAGGACTCATGAGCAAAGTAATTGGAGGAAGTTGCAGGAGATGCGGTAGCTGCTGTTCGTGAGTCCCAGCCATCTAGTTTAGCCCCTATCCGCTATCCGGATACGGTCGGCGGTGACGCATAGTCACAAAAACAGATACGCAAGTAACATATCCCTGAGACCCTGTTAGAGCATTTGTTTAGTTTTTCCGAGCCGATCCTAGATCTGCCGCGATTTGTTCGTCAGCAGAAAGTCCGACAAGTCCCCATTTTACATATTTGTTCCTCGGCAGAAAGTCCGACAACAGAAAGTGTCAATGGTCGCTATTATCGTCTGCAGTGTTGCGTCTCTTAGAATTGTCAGGTAATCAGAAACAATAAGAAACAGGTCCGCAAGTAACATATCGCTGAAACCCTGTTAGAGCATTTGTTTCGTTATACCAGGGATTTTAGTCAAAATTTATATATTGGGTTTTTTACTTTTAAACAAAGACAGATAAATAGAGGTTGAAAATCCGATTCCAACGGTACCTCAATGAAGTTTGTATGTCAATTCTAAGCGGAGATATTCCAATTTCAGTGACGGAAAGTGCCCCCAAAAAATTATACTGGAAAACACACAAACAAGATGGCGGCGTGTTCCCAAGTGAAAACTGGACCTAAATTTATCATGTTTAATGTCAATAACCCTTACGTTTTTTGCGAAACACCTTAGCAACCATATGTCATTGCTTTCAGGGCAGTAAGCTCTAACTAAAGTTGTTGCCTTTTAAAACATATGATGTGATGCAAACCTAAATAACATAAAAATGAGTCATTTAATCAGTATTAATTAAATACCTTATGAATAATTATTATTATCCAGTGAGTCTTGCAAGACGGAAACTGTAATATATAAATAAATATATATATATATACTTTTGTATCTATTCTTCCCTTTATGATGCATCTCTTTCTATTTGTTGAAAAATGCTTTTTCTCGCACTCTCACTTGTGTGTGTGTGTGCATACATCTGACCGAAATTTGCTTTATTCCACTGTTTAAAAATTGTTCAATAGCGAGTGGATTGACTTCATTGCA